TGGTTTAAGAAAACCTTAACAGAGCTGTTTCGAGCCGCAGCGAGCAAGGTTATGATTGCCAATATGATTTCCAACATCCGAAACGGATAGGAACCAGAAGAAGAAGAAGAAAGCCTCGCAACGCAATCCATGAATATGTTGACACACATAAATAATATAAATAAATTAATAGGATCGAAATTTCTAGTACAAAACTTAAAGACGATAGCCTTGTACTAGCTAATCTAATACTGACGTAGGCTTTTAGAGAATTTAAGACCAACCAATCTAATGATGTTTTTTGAGAATTGGGAATCAAGATAAATATATATCTGTCTATAATTAAAGTTCTACATGCAAATCCTTAGCATAGTAAAATAGTTTTCACATAACTTACTGGTGCTATTTGAAGTTTGTCTATGTTATCTTGATATAAGTTCCTTGAGTATACCAGGGCCCAATAAAATGTATAGAGTGATGAAGAAATGTTAAAACAAAAAATGAGAAATAAAATAAAATACAGGAAAACGTAATATTGATAGGAAAAAGATATGCTGACTGTAATATTGGAAACTGGTAGGACTAGACTTTGAAGAACGTTTCAGAATAGTGCAAGATAGAAAAAGATTTGCCACTACAACCGGTTACCTCTAATGATGGAGACGGTACATGACGAAGATCGAGTCAAAGTGTCTGAGATGGCAGATATAGTAAGTTTATTAAAACATAAATTTGGCGAATCAAGTTCTACAGTTGTCCATAACAAAGCTAATGCTAAACCATTTTGAAGTGTTTCCTGCATATTTTGTACGTTTTTGCCAAAACTAAAATATAATTTTGAGCCGTTTCATTCAGCTTGATACAACTTTTGTCCATTATTCTAATTTAAAAATAATATTCGATTATAATAATGAATACACAAAGTTTTTTTTTGCCACGAATTAAGGCAATAACGGTTTTGAAAGAAGAGAAAATTATGACATCCGTGCTTTCTCTGCAATTATCTTTTAAATCTATCTATTAGAGAAAAAAACCCTAGAGAGATAACAAAATAAAAAGGAACTGGAGAGAATAAAACAAACAAACATTAGAGAGAAAAAACCCCAGAGAGAGAGAGAGAGAGAGAGAGTAAAAGAAAGACGATAGTAGCTTTATCAATACAGACAAGAGCAATATCATTGAGGCGGCCAAGGAATTTTAGATTTTACTTTTCAGGACATCCTACAAATAAAACAACACTAACAAAAACCGGCGCAATCCAACAAAAAAACTAACAAAAACCAAAAATATTGGACACGTAGAACTGACTTATTGAGCACCAAGTCTCCGAACTGAGGCCCAAGCAAGCAATTTCGCTGAGGCGCTATTATCCAGGACTCCCAAATAAAGAGCACCTGGCTGATAGTTTTGCCCCTATTGCGCATCAAAGTGCTATAGGGGAGAAGGGGATGGTCTGTCTCCAATGGTCTGGTCTGCTGATAGAATTAATACCTCGCTCCAATGAATTGTTACACCCGAACGTAATTCTAAGGAGGGAACATGTCTCACAGGCTGGGTTTAATTAAATTGCTTGCTTGAAGAAGAAAGTTATTTTATATTGGGATAACGCAGCAGACCACAAGTTTACGATAGTTTTCTTTTTCGTATTTCTAAGATTTGAATTCATTGAGTCACACAAAGGCATTGTAAATTTGAAATATCGTTGGAATAATATCGTAAAAAAGTTTTCAGCATCTATACAATGTATACCTGAGACATATCAACTAAAAGATGAAAATCACCTTCATCTAAAAAACCAGGCATGTTGAAAGGTTCCTAGTTGACATCTCCACTATTAAACTTATCTGGCTATAGATTGCAAATGACCAGAAGCGTCAAATTAAAAAAATTGATCGATTAATAGACAAGACAAGGATAAACTTAAGAGACTAAAAGTTTGGAAGATTAGACAATGATGTGTAAATCAAATTAGACGAGACTAGAAGTGGATACAAAGAATAAATAGCTTCGCATATATAAATAAACGAGAAATAACAAGATTAAAATTTGGTAGATGTCAATTTACAATTGGTAAAAGGAAATAACTATAAATCTATCCCAATTACTCGTAAAAAGACTTGGAAAATACAAATTTTGATAAGTTTATTAGTCAAATACAAACTTTTGCGTACATAATGATAAATACGGAACGAAAAAGACGAGGAATAAGATAAATTTGCTTCTCATAAATTTTTTATTATGAACAATAAAATATATCCTTTGTATATTGAATCATTTTAGTTGATAGGCAACTAAAATGATCTAAATATCAGGAAAAACCATGATGTGCAAGGTTGAAATTAATATTAATAAAAAACAGGTGTAAAAAGAAATCAGGAAGTTAATTGTTCGATTTTAAGGTCGTGCATATAAAAATTATGATATTCTCCGTTCTACAACTAAAGGTATAGTTTGCCAAATGCCATATACAGGGTGAGTTTTTAACGCGACATTTGTCGATGACTTTATTGTAGTGGAGAATATCTAAAAATGAAGTTAAATGTGTCGATAGCAATTAAAGTAAACTGTATACCCAAGATTAATCAAGCCATTCAGGGCGATGCTTGGAATATTTATATTCCACTATACCTAAACAATTTACCCATATAAATTACCATCATTCTTGTACTCATTGCGTCGAGGAAGGATGCTAAATATACAAGACGATTGCGTTTCGATTTAATTTGAGTCTATTACCACTCCCTAACACGTGCTTCTATCCGTCATCAGAGAGAGTTTGTAAGAAGACTCAAACTAAATCAAAACGCACCGACTACCCTGGAAATTATAGGAAAATAATTACCAGAGTATGTTACTAGATGCTATTAGAGCTTCAACTGGATTTAACGATTAAAAACTTCACGCTGACAGAGATCAGAAATACAGTTATGAAAAATACAAAACCAAAAATACTAACACCAGGGTTTGATCTGATCACAGGCAAGTTATTGCAAGAATGTACAATAAAAGGTTACAAATATCTGCAGCGCAATTTCAACGCCATCATCAGAACAATGAAAAACTTTTCGAGTCAATGCAAAATTTCACAGATTATCCTGACACCAAAACCTGAAAAAAAACCAAAAGTCCTAAAATCCTATAGACCTATAAGTTTGCCGCCGACATTAGAAGTTTGCATTTTAGTAGAAACTAAACTTATTCTGGACCAAAAATTCGACTTTAGGCTAAAGCATGGGACAATCAAGCAGGTGTATAGAATAGTAAAGGACACGACTTGTACTCGTTGACGGCCCAGAAATTATGAAATGCGAGGTAGAACACGCTATATATAGTGCTGAAATTAGAAAACTTTCTGGTCCAGATGTTACAACAACTGAGTTGATGAAACTAATAGTCGATGATAACATTCAAGTAGTAGTAAGACTTTTTAATTCGATATACCTATAACACCGGAGTGATTCCCACAGATTGGCTCAAATTCATCTTTGTTACAATACCTAAAAAACACAATGCGAGAAAATGCTCAGAATATCGATTACTTAGCCTAATGAGTCACATTCTTAAAATTTTCCTAAGAATACTTCATAAGAGAATTAGAGGCAAATGCGAAGAAGATTACAGATTTACAACAAGTAAAACATACAAATACAAAGATGTATTTGTATGTTTCATGGACTTCGAAAAGGCCTTCGATAAAGTACAGGATGTAAAATGAATCCAAATACAGAAAAATATCGGAACAGACGACAAGGATATTCGTGTCATTAAAAATTTGTAATGGAATCAAACTGCTATCGTAGAAATTGGAGATAACTACACCGATGAAATCTCCATACAAAGAGTAGTCAGATGAAGTTAGATTTTGCCGCCAACATTGTTCAATGTTTACTCGGACCAGAAAAGTGGGTTCATAGACGAATGCTGAAAATACCTTAGACAGCAAGGAAAACTAATAAAGAAGTACTAAGGAGTGTCAACAAAGATAGAGAACTGCTAAAGACTGTTAAACATCGACAAATGTCTTATCTGGGCCATATAGTAAGGGGAAGTCGATATAAAATATTACAACTGGTCCTTAAAGGCAAAATAGAAGGCCGTAGAGGTGTAGGAAGAAAAACAAGTTTCTTGGTTAAAAAACATTCGTGAATGGACTCAGATATCAAATGCATGACAATATTATTCAATATTGCAGAAGCAGAAGAAGATCGAGAAGCCTTCGCAATGGTGATCGCCAACGTCCGATAATTCTGATATGGCCCCCGAAGAAGAAGAAATAAAGAAAACGAACTCTTCACTGCAAGAGGCTTCTACAAGCTATGTAAACAAAAAATTACTTATTCTTTATTTTTGGATAGATTGAAATTTTAATTGCAGTTACTATTTTTTATCGTTAGGTAAACAAAGTCCTTAATTAATTTTGCAATTTTCTAGTATGTACAATATAAACATCATAGTAATACAGTATAAAGAAGATTCATCAAATAATACAAACATTTCGTCGTTGTCATCGATTGTAGAATTGGCTACAAATCGATTGGGCAACTGTGTTAAAGACCAGCTGCGAACCACAACAAAATCAAAGATTTGATCGTAGATTTTAAATAAATAAATAGTATAAAATATGAATTAAACTGTTATAAAGGAGTTTGAGATATTTATCGAGTTCTTACATGCGTGGGAAAAGGTAATAAATTAAATTATAAAATCAAAATCAGAAACAGTAAATGATGTTACCGTTATTTAGTTGTTTCCGTCGACCTCGATAACCTCTTTTCGGAGAAATTATTCGTGAATCGCGACCGTGCGGTCGAAAATTAGTACGTGTCTTTTAAAACCTTTCTTTGCAACTTAACGTACTATAATTAGAAAAATCAATGTCTAAATACCAGAAAAGCAGTCATTTCCATTCAGGTAACCTTGAACCAGTTACCTAGAAAAATGAGTGAACCGAATAAATGTCAGACGACGCGCTGATTAAGGACATTAATAAATAAACACGCAAGTGAATGTTTGAATCTTACCCTTTAAATGTAAATTAACACTGAACTCGTCTCTTTTATGGTCATGTGGGCAGATGCAAGTGGATGTATTTGATATGAAACTGTTGGCCGATGTAACCGCACCGAGGAGTCAACGAATACTGGCTTGGCTCTTCGGCTTTGCTCTTGAAAACGGGGTCCACGATTATTTGCACCTGAATTCAATCAAATTCCCACTCTCCGTCTTTCTCTTTTCTTTCCGGGAATCCGAAACTCCGTCGGTGGAAATTCTCCTGCGGTCTCCCCTTTCTCGTAATGCGATGAGTGATCTTTTCGAAAGGGATGTCTACGATATTTCAGGAACTTTTAAAGTGCCAATGATGCTAGCTTTCTCTCTCGAGTATTTATGATATACAGGACGAGTAAAAAATTACTGAAAAAAGCATCGTAATAAAGACTACACCATATTATATAAATGCGGTATATTAGTTTTATAATTAATTAACTTTTTTAATCTTAAACAAATATATCTCTAAATTTTTTTCCACTTTAAAACATATTTTGTATCTTTATATACAAAAATCTCGTGTCACGTCCAAGTCATGTTTGTCCAAGCTAATATTCAAAATCCACTGAACCGATTGCAATAAAATTATAACAGTGTATTTCGCACCCTGAGATGATAAGTGTCTTATCTTCCAAAACCAAGTTTCCAAATAATTCAATTTTAAAGATTGTCGCGGTTCCAGTAGTTTTAATATTGTCAATAAGGTTACCATACATTTTTCAAATACTTATTGTAACAATTTTGTACCTGAAAAACAATTGCTTTAAGTAAATGATTTACTTATTCGGCTACAAATAATTAAATAAAATTCTGGGATGGAAAATACAACAGTTTAACATTAGAAAATGAATGCACCACAGTATAAAATTGTTTAATAATTATCGAAAATTGAACAAAAATTATGATAATTTGTAAATGAACGACAAAAACACATAACATATCAAAGAATATTTATGCTGGATTGAACAAAACTTTCTCTTCTTCTTCTTGTACATCAATAACAAAATTATTCTGCTTATGATTGCTTACCAATGATTCATTGAAGTGTTCATGGGACTTAGGTATATGATTTTTTTCCAATCGAAATTCCAGGTAGGGAAATATGAAGTGTTTTACCTTTTTAACAACATGCTCCTGGATATAACCATAAACGCAACTTGCTATCTCTACCGCTCCTTTTTTTCAACGATTCTTATCCCATATGTAACAGAATCCTTCTTGTGAAACATTGTCAAAAATTGTAAAGTTGTAGGTATTTAAATGCCATTTGTAGAAAAACCTGGACACGTCACCTGATGGTAATGGAATTATAGCCTGTAAATCATATTCGCATACGATTTCTTCTGCCAGTTTGGCGCGCTTTACATCCTCGAATCTTTCTTTTCTCGATAACTTTACGTTTTCTCGATGACGTTGATACTGTACATCTCTATTCTTCTTTTCAAGTTCAGTACAATTAATACACTAATGGCAGGTTGCACACTGGTCCTTGCGAGGCACGAAAAATCCAATATTAAACTGGGTGTTAAATATGTGTCTATATTTACTCTTTTTCAAAATACTATGTTTGTAGTTATCCTGACATTTCTTCAGATACAGACGATACATTTCAGCAAGTGTTAACTGTCCATCGATGTTCTTCCTTCGAATTTGAGCACGAAATAGTGAGACTCCACTACTGGAAAAGAATCAATATGCTGTCTGGTATACTCTACAGCATCTGGAGGTAAAGTGCCATGGCAGTTATGTTTTCCACGTTCATCATCACCACAAATAATGCCAGATTTATGAACTTTGTTCTATGCGGCATAGACATACCTTTCACTGATCCCAAACGTATTAAGAAAAAAGGTTTTGCACACTTCTAGATCATTATTATTTATCGGTAGTACATACTTATAATTATTGCACCCTATCTGTTTGCTGTGGTGAGATGGAGGTTTCTCCGATGTCTACTGAACCAGAAAAGTTCGCTGCATTCTCCAATCACCAAGGGTCCAGAACTTTTGATTAATTTCATGACGTTGGTCATCATTAAATGTTGCCGAACACTTCAGTCTACAGCGTTCTGTACATATAGGTTTGTTTTACTTGACGCTGTTTAACAATAACTCTTTTCGTGTGGCATAAGATTTACCTGAATTTCTTTTTGTAATCAAAGTGTTGACCGCCCACTTGGATTATTTCTATTTCTTTTTCTAACTGTATGAACTGAAATTGAAAAAACTTCCTTTAGTAAGTAAATTTACTGAAAACAGTAACAATTATGAATGGATATTCAAAAACCATCTTACTTTCATCTTCATCTGATTTTTTGCCACTGTATGCTTCAGCTTTGGCTATGTAACCATTCTCAATGGTCTCAAAGGACTAACTTATGTGTTTTCAACATTTGCATCTGCTACTAAATTTTTACTTACGTCTTCAGGAATAATACCACAAGGAAAAGAATTTTGATTATTGTCAAAATTAATAAATACCAAGTTACCTTCGTCATCTACAGTAGCCTCTAAGACGGGTGTATCCTACATCAAAACAGAATGACAGAATGTATGTGAAAACTTTGGATTTGGAAATAATAATTTTTAAAACTTCTCACTTTTGTAATATGCTTTATATTGCTTTTTCTCTAATCAACTATATTTTCCTTGAATTTTGCAGATCAGCTTCTTAAACTTCTTTTAACAAATACTTTTATGGTCTCCTCACAATTTTGGAAAACTCATTATTACAAAATATAAATCATCGTGTAACAGTAATCTACCTACCCCACAAACTTGACCATCCATGCTTAATTATTTTAGTTTAAACTATCTAATAAAAAACAGCCTCTTTTACAAAATCAATCAAAAATTCATTTACAAATTTTGGTCTCTCATAACCAAGGTAAATGCCTATTAAACCTATAATTTTTGGATATATAAACAAATTACAGCTAGAATAAAACTGACTACTAGAACTCTTTTTTAGTGGGATTCCGTCAAACTTTACACAAATTTCTATAACAATGCTTTTTTGCAAAGATAAAAACACTTTTGAAATTTGAATCATATGGATCAGAGTATATTTTTTAAAACCAAAGTAGAAATATTTTCGAGAGAAAATGTCCTTAAATTTAAGTACTCTGAGTGAAGCAAGAAGGGTTCTAGCATCTGACGGCAAATGAGAAAGATCAGGAACTTCTTTATGAACTTTTAATAAATCGTCTAGTATTTTAAAGGACAAAGTCCAGTTGCATAATTTATTAAAAAAAAACATCTCGATAAGGTTCTTCAGAGTTCTCGTTATCAATGTTTAGACGCTTCTTCAGTTTAATTGAAAGAATAACTTTGTAAAATATCACCAGAATGGTCGTCCACGTGGTCTATTTAGATTATTTTAGGTTAAATAAGAAACTAGCTTTTCAGAAAAACGGAAGATTTAACAACAATGTAAATACCACCATCGGCTGCATTACAAGACCTGTACACATCAAAATTTATAAAAATTATGCAAGCCGTTTTCGAGATACATAATACACTCCATTCTGAAGAATTATTTTGGGCAGTAGCCATTAAAAATTGTAAACATGACGACGGCCAACGTCTGAATACGGACACGGCACCTAAAGAAGAAATTTGTGCATAATTTTATTAAAAAACCTGTTGGCCAACTTCTTAAAACTGCCAACAGTTCTTCAGGGATATCGTTACCTTGGAAGAAGACCGTCGTATCCCACAAAAAGTAAACAATGAACTATGTTAGTAAACATATTTCAAATTTTCTATATTTTTTTGTGTGACACCGGAATATAGTTTATGCTAATGGCTTACATGACAGAAGTGTCGTTATTGTTATTCGAAAAGTTGGTTTAATATTTTGTACAATATTGTCATATTTTAATTGCTTCCAAGTGCCAGTTATCATACGTACTTTTTTGTGGAACACTGTATCTTTTAGAGTTGTCAGTATTAAAAAAAAGTAAGTGTTACCATAATTTATTTAAAGAACCATGTACCATTTTCTGATATGTCTTCCTTTCTAAATAACACAATAAATACATATACTTTCTGTGAAAAATATTACATTATTTTGACTTGTGTTAGTCTTGTAATTAAGTTAAGGTTATGTTTAAAATAAGTTGTATTATTCTTTTGAGTTATGCCAGTATTTTAGAAAATTATTAAAACTTTTGAATTTTTGAACTAAAATATCTATAAATTATTTCGACTTATGACGTTCTTTCGGATTATAAAAATTCTGAATTATGTCAGATTGCAAAAATGTCTCAAATATTTAGGGGTAAACTTATGATAAAGTAGACTTTTGTCAAAAACAAGAAATATAGTCTATTATGAAAAGTTAAAGAAGGAATTTTCAAATGAAAACAAGTATTTTTTAACGATAATTTCCTGCAGAGTGACAGTTTGTTTTTAATTTTAACACTATGGCGTCTTTTCTCTTAATTTTATGTGCCAAATATACATTTGTAAAAAAACACGTAATCAATTTTATTAAAGAAGTGAATTATCTCCAAACACCGTACAAATTTTTTTAAGAACGTCACAACTCAAAAATTTTATGGCCTAAAATAGGATTAAAGAAGTATGGTATTGGCTACAGTTTTTTACAGGCTAGTACACATCAAAGCCAAAATATTATCTTGTTCGCCATTATGGGTAAAATTTTTATTTTTAAAATTTATCGAATTGATTTTTTAAATCGCCCCTGAAACTTGTCATATCTTGATATAATGGAGTTCTTCTTTCAAGGTAGCGATATCATCTGATAAAGCCGATTTACCTTTTTTTTCCACAAGGAATCTACGTTCCTGTAGTTGGCTGTTTACCGTATATTAAAAAATTCAATCTTAAACCATTGTAGGAAAATTTGTAAACTAAATGTAATTAATTATTTGTTAACGGGTTTTTACCCATATATTTAGTGGCTACATTCATGTACTCCTAGTAAGTATTAACCACACTTTCTATTAACCTTAGTCAAAATTTTAAACCTACGTTCTTTTTAATTAAGTGGTTAAATATTTTCTAGGACACTGATGATGGAATATGGATTCCGAAAACGTTTTGTCTTTTTAACTTAGCCCGTTTAGGTTCT